AATAAATTCCAATAAATCCCATCAAATTACCTATTTGGACTTACGGAGTTGAGTTTGGGGCTCCACTAACCCTTCGAATTCCTCTCGTATCCATTCCTTACAATCCAAAATCCTACGTAAAATCCCCAATGCTGCTTACAATGTACAAATAAAATCATCCATAATGACCCTTCGCTGTAAATCTACGACATCTTGTCCTACAGCACAGACAGATCTATAAGGGGGGACTTTCGGACTGAAGGCCCCTCCCCCCCCCAAAAAAATGGTAAAATATAACCATGTTTTTCAGAAAGAAATATTAAAAGTATTCTTGTTCGGGTAATTACATTTAATAGGACTTCAAGAACCACTTAAGCACCATGTCATATAAGTAGTTAATTTCTTTCTTTCTTTTTTTCTAATTAATTATCGTTATATGTATATGAAAAAAAAATCGTTCGGGCTGAAGCCCCCCCTCCCAAAAATTAATTCCTGGATCCGCTAGTGTCCTACAGTATCCTTTAATAATTCCCCAGTTATTCTTGTTGAACAAATCCGATACCTTGGACTCCATTTGGACAAACCTCTGACTTGGAATACTCATGCCAGACTGAAACGACAAGAAACAGCTCGACGTTTCCGTCTACTTCAACACTTACTAGACAAACGCTCTTAACTTCCAATTAATTACAAAAGACACATATACATGACTATAATACGACCTATTTGGACTTATGAAGTTGAGCTTTGGGGCTCCACTAAGCCATCGAATTCTTCTCATATTCAATCCTTACAATCCAAAACCCTTCGTAAAATCCTCACTGCTCCTTACTTTGTCACAAATACAATCATCCATAAGGACCTTAATGTTTCTTATGTTTTTGACCTGTCCCAATCCAGATATTTATCCTTCCGTAACAAACTTCAGAACCAACCAACACTCTCGTTTCTAACCATGCTTCCTCTTCGATCCCTGACAACCCTCAGAGTCGTCTGAAAAGAAGATGGCCTCGAGATTTCCTTTTGTAAATACATTTTTAGATTGCTACCAGTGGGTAGTTTCTCAACAAGTGGTTTCATATTATTATATTCTTGTGTTCACATTTACTGAATGTATTTTTATTTTTAATACAGTTGTAAATATCATAAATATTAAAAAAATAAAACTAGAAGAGGGAGGAAATCAAAGTAGGTTTTATGTATTTATATATTCTATCAGGGATGCCGATGCCTCCCAAGATCAAAGACGCAAGAACCTACATTACCTGTCCCTCTACATCCAAGATATTTTATTGCTGACCTTTTCTTAAAAACAGAAGCGAAGGTAGAATAAGAAAAATCGTAGATCATATACAAGTACACTTGCTGCGGTCTGTTTTATGTTTTTTCCTTGTCCCTTAGTCCGATAATTCATAACTCCATTTCGAAATCCCCCTCCCCCCTCAAAAATTAAAACCCGTCAAAATATGCTGGGTTTTAATTTTTAAAATACCATATGCTTTGGAATTGCTATCTTAGAGAAAGATTAGAATAAAAATATTTTATTTTATGCCTAGGCTTCGTCCTAAGGTTCATTAGTATTAATTTGTAGACATTAATAAATTGATATATATTGTTGACAAGTTTAAAAAAAATGAAATAAAATAAGACTTATTACAAGGAACTAGAAAAAAAATCAATTAAGTTCTTTAATAAAAAATAAAAAAAAAAGGTGGACAAAAATCTATAACGAAAAACTTATTAAAAACATTTATTGTCAAAAATATTTATCACTAACAACTAGAGAGAGAAATTAATTAAATTGCTCGATATAAAAAACTGAAAACTGAATTATTGATTATAAACTATAAAAATGACTCATACTTTCTTTATAAATAAATAAAAAAATATTACTATCATATATAAAAATAATTAAATAAATATTTATCAGAGATCTTGTTTGATCATAATCTCATTTTGATATCCTCAACAATAAGCCGGATTTCCTTGTAGCCTTTTTCTAGTTGTTTTTTTATTATTTATATTTTTTTGAAAAAATATAGATTTCAATAGTAAAATTTTAATATAGATAAAAAATATTGATATATTTCTGGAAAAGTGTTTCACCAAAAATCCATTATTTGTGGGATGTTTTAAGATTTTCTGCGACGTGCATTGTTCGATCAATAGCTACTTCATACAAAACTTTTGTGCGCGTATGCAAAATTATTTTTAGATAAATAAGTCATAGATCTATTGATCGAATATTTTAATTATGTTATTATTTAACTCATGTTTTTTATAGGCGAACAAATTCTATTTATATCTAGTTTAATTGAACTATGATCGATATGTTTATTCCTAAAACTATATATGTATTATTTATTTATTTTTTAATAGTTCTTAGTAAAGAAAATAAAAATTAAAAAGTTGAACGACTTTTTTAAATATTATACTCGTATTTATATTTATTTTAGCGAATGTTACCTATTTTCGAAATTATTTCTAGTCATATTTTTTTTTACCTTAGTTTTAATATTGACAGTTGACTTTTATTGAACCTTTTAAAAAGTTCATGTTGCTTTAGTTAATGTTTTTAGAAGTCGTTCAATTACTTCTAAAAATATATCGTCGGTTTTATTATAGGACATTTTGTAATAAACGAACGAAATCGTCGATTTATTTATAGAACGTTTTGTAATAAATGGATATCAATGGTTTATAGCAAAAAATCATTGACATTTCATAACCATAAATCACTAACTATAATCACGGATTTTGTCGTCGTGAAATCAATCAGAAAATTATGTGTTTGTTGTAAATAAATATATAATGATTTTTAAAAGTGTTCATTTCATTTTAGTACAGTTCATGTGTTTTTTTACTTTCACTTACCTATATGTGTAATATATAGTAAGGAAAAGTATTGCGATCGTGAAAAATTTCTAATCTGAATTTTTAACAGAAATAATTTCAGAAAACTAACATTATTTAATATGAAAATGAAATTTTCTTACGAAATGTAAACTTTTAAACATTTTTCTAAGTTTGAAAACAAGTATTTAAAATCCATCAAGCCAATCCCATTTTTCCCAGACGAAGTGAAATATAAAAATATTTCATGAATATATTTATAACATTAAATACATTTACTGTAGTTTGATAACTCTAAATATGATATTATATTTAAATAATTAGGTATCTATTGGCCGTTTACTACAAAAAATCACCAAGCAACCTTCTAGAAAATTAAATTAATGAATAATTTGATGAATTTTCCCTTTGTGAAATCCCAATATTATCCACTTACAATTACCGTGAAACTTTTGACCTTACCATGGCAGGCAATGAAAATCTCTTTATTTCATTTTTGTAAACTTTACAATGGAAGATAACAGTTTAATAACTAATAGTCCTAAATCCATAATCATTTATAGGTTAAATATTAAGATGCTCTTTCAAATCTCTCTAGGCATATATGGGCCTTTCAGTTGACAGAATGACTAACTCTATTTTCAACATTCTTTATTATTAATTTTGTGTTGTTTCTAGTGGAAAAATTTATACCTTTATTCACAACTCTATATTTCAACATTGCAAACACATACTCTGGAATCTACTTACTCACTGTCTTTATAGATATAACTTTTCCAACTAGAAATATCACTAAGATAACATTACTCAAAAATATTGAAATTGGAGTTAGTCATTCTGTCAACTGAAAGGCTCAGAGACTGAAGTTGTGTTGTTTATAAAAGCAGATGGATTAAATAGATTTTTATTGCCTACCGTCGATATAATAAATAGACTTTTTGTAATTTTAATGGTCTTAATGATTCGTTATCTGTAAGCTTTAAGCTTTATCTACGATTAAAATGCTCTTCAAAAAAATTTAAATAAAAATAGCCCAATATTGCCAGAAAATAATTTCTATTCAAAGTAGAGTGACAAGTGAAATTTGTGTATTGCGCGCATCAGATTTTTTTAATCAATAAATAAGGTGAAAATTAATCAAATTGTTTTTAAAAATTGAGATCAATGAAAAATGTAGCGACATTTTGCAATAAAATTAACAATATTTACTTTTATAAATATTTTGTTGAACTTGTTTCATACCTAAAGTAAAATTAATTTTTGTTCTTGAAACTTTAGATTAAAAAACAAACTAAAAGGAAACAAATGATTTAAAATATACAACATGAGCTAATTAGCAAAGCTAATTTTACTAAAAACAACACACAATAGTGGACAGAAATTAATTAATATATTTCACTCTTGTATATTAATGAAAGGTTTGATTAAAATATAAAATGGACTACGTTTATTGCATAATTATGATGTGAATTCCATTCGCGAATTTTTGTTTAGACTAAATCAGTATATAATAATATTTTCATAATTATCTTTTATCTTTTATTGTATACTATATATGTAATTGTTTCAATAAACTTTTTGGAGGGTAAGAAGAAAAAAAAAAAAAAAAAAAAAAAAAAAAAAAAAAAAAAAAAAAATATCTTTTATCATAAAAAAATGTTTATATTAGTGAATTATTATTTTTATTTATTTACTATAGAATAAAATTATATTAATATTACTTCGAAAAGAGTATTTAGTAAACGAGTTATGGAAAATAAATATATACAATACTTTATATGCAATTATCGATTTTATTTTCTAACGGGACTGTAAGTCCGTTATGAAGGTCGGGAATGACCGGTGCTTAACTAATCGATTATTTACGCACATTTAAATATTAAAACGTTTATTTTTAATTAATTGTTTTTATTCAATCAAAAACTGAAAAGAAAATACATTAAAAATGATTATTTGTTCATTTATAATGATTATAGGAAGAACCACTTAAACACCATTTCATATAGGTAATTAATTTCTTTATTTTTTTTTTCAAATTAATTATCGTTATATGTATATGAAAAAAAAAATCTTTCGGGCTGAAGCTCCCCCCCCCCCCAAAAAAAAAATTAAATCCTGGATCCGATAAGATGGACAATATAGGAGAAATAATAGAAAGAAAATATTTAAAACATTACAAAATATTTATTTAAAAAAACATTCTTAAAATATATTCATATAATATATTTTAACAGTCTTAGATCTTAATTTAATAAATGCATCAGTTTTTTTTTTTATAACTTGATTTAGTCATCATTAAAAAAAAAACTTAATAAATATTATATTACATTAAATGGTTTATTAACCTCTTAACAAAATAAACAAAATGTTTTGTGCTGTTCTAAAATAAATCCTAAAGATATTGTATAGTTTTACTGTTTAAATAAAAACATATATAAAAGAACTATTTTATTTCATTATTCTATAGGTGGTTTAAGGGTGTGTTTAGACATTTCACAAACATCGATATTTTTTATTTTGATATAGACAGTAGATGGAAAATATCAAAAACAATAAACTAAATGCTAGTGAAGTGAAATAACCATTTATATATTTGTTTGTCACGTAGTTTGTGAAATGTATAAATGCACTTTTAAGGTGTAAAAAGGTTGAGTCATGTACATAAGTACATAGCAAAAATAAGTACAATAATAAATTAATTATAAAATAATAATAACTATTTATAAGGCGAAGAATAAGAACATATAATGTTATGAACGGGATAAGCCACAAGACCAGCGCAAGTGATCATAACTGCATCAGCGAAAGTGTTCATGGCCATGCTGAATTGTCTAGCTTCTGGAGCGACTTCATTGTTTATACGCCGATACGTATTAACATAAGACGCCCCCCCTAAAATACCTTCCCAAAATATTACAAGCATTAAAAGTGGTAAATAAGTGACGAAACCATAAAAGACTTCTAACAAACAGAAAATAACATTTGCAAGTTGCAACAATGCAATCAACCAAATATTATTAATTTTGATCAGATTCATCGACGATCTAGATACAAATACGCCTATCTGGTACAAGACACTATACCACCTGTATTGCTCGGAATGAGACAGTCCTGATTGTGGAAAAAATAAAAGTTCAAACAATCCTTGGTTTATAAAATATTCAAACAGATAAACTAAACCGAACGGTGCCATATATGTAACGAATAAACCTGGAATCAACCTCAACTTATCACGAAAACTCAACACATCTGCTTCGATAGGGACGTTTGCATCAGTTTTTTGTAAACTTTCCAAAGCATTATCGTTACTGTTAATTTTTGGATGGTCCAAAAAAACGAAAAACAATATCGCTTCCATAACAGGTATTATGAGCATAAGTAACAAAGTTTTTTCAGGTTCTAGACCTAATGTTGTAAGTGCTGCATAACTGACAGAACCCACTATACCGGCTCCTCCCGTGCCAGAAGACCAAGTAGAAATGACGTTTTTAGTTTTGAAGAAAACCATATAAGATAATAATGATGATTCTCCAAGTCCGATAGACAAAGATGTGCACATCACACCTAATATTATTACCCATTTTTGAACTCTGATGGCCACTAAAATAAATCCAGCGATAGCGAGTCCAATGGTCACTGCCATCCTCAAGTAAATACACAAAGGCATAAATGGTGAAACAATTTTTACTAATATGGACGGCATTATATCGGCGAGCAGTATTATGCCGGTACTCATCGTGTTGCATTCCCTTATGTATGTATTGTTCGATGAAATATCATCGTCATTAAAGTCCGCAAGGATGTCATGGGCTGCACTGAGCATAACTACGTAGCCATAATTGTTCGCTAAGCCTAAAAACCAAAAAATTATCACATTTCTATAATTTCTTCTACAGAACGATGTCCTTTCTTCTGGCTGTATTGGCATGTTTCTATGTGTAGTAGTCTTATTTAAAAAAACAATCACAGATAATGCGGTTCTTCTTATTTACTATATTCTGTTATAAAATGTCCAACTACCTATACTTTCACGAAACATTCACAAAACATGACAAGCGGTACCGGCTTAGCGAATCGTACACGCCGAACTGAAGTCTATCGACAGCAGCGAATTCGCTTTGAAACTGCTCATGCGCTTTTGCATTCCTGGTAAGCATGTACGGAATGAGGAAGTCTTATTTATTAATAAAGCTAAAAAACTCTCTCAAATATTTAATTTTCGTTTTTAAAAACCTAACAGTAAAGTAATATTCGTAACAAAAGAGAAGGAAATGGGGTTTACTTGAGTGATAATTTTACAGTCCTTATTTCATATTTTTTTACTTTTTAAAAATTATAATAAATTATTAAAATGTAACTATATTTTAAATTGATTCATTTTGAAAGGTATTTAAACAATTTTTTTAAATAATAAAATATTAAAAGATGAAGTTAGTGGTAAATATTCAGTTACCACTGGGGAAAGACTTTTTGCAACCTCTTCTAAACAAACTAATATGTTCTCTTCTATGTTATGTAATCTATGTTGCTTTGACTTAAATGGGTTCTTGTAAATACTATTGAACATTTTTATGATGGCCAAGTGAGATTATGTTTATAGAACTATGATTATAAATATAATTTATATCAATATATTTATAAATAATGAATTTAAATGTTATTTTTAAAATTTAATAAAAAATATTTTACTTCTCTCTTACAGGGAATTATTGATAGTTTTTATATATGACTGTGAATCATGTAAGAAGGAAGAAGATGACCCCCAAGACGCAATAATTTACTTTTATCCCACTTGGGTCAACAACGAGCAGAGACATGCCCTGTGCAGTCAGTTGATGGGCGTAACCCAATTTTGCGCTTCTTCTTTCTCATTACCGAATATCATCTCTTTGCAGAGCGGGAAGTTCGCTCTGAAAAAGCTGGGCAGATATGCTTTGGTATACTATTTCGGCCTATTATGAATCTATTTATATTTCCTTTAAACATAAGACAAACTAACATGCACCATGATAATATGCAATAATTAAATTTATTAATTAAGATTACATATTACATTTACATCGTTGTCTTCAGTCAGTTTATTGCTAGTGTTCGCTGTAGTTAAGGTTGCTCCTGTGTTAATATTTTATACTTTTTGACAGTCGCTGTTTTAATATTTTGCTTATACATGTGTGTTTGACTAATTTACTAGTCATAATAAGAAGCGTTTTTGCATTAATGGTTTTGTAATCCACTATCAAAGTGGTCATAATTTTACAGTGTGAATTATTAATTTTGTAGTTTGGATTATTAACCTTCTTTAAATTAATTTTACAGATGAATTCTCAATCTTTATCAACCATATTTATCCAATTATTTATTATGGTTGTACTAATGTAGTGTGATTACATAACCATTATGAAGCTATGTTATTATATAATCTAAGTTATAAGTGCCCTTGTTACTTTGGTTCTCGTATAATATTCATATATTTTGGGATCTGTCGATATTGCTGGTTTTATTCTGTTAATAGTTCTTTGATTTTAGAAAAAAAAATGTCTGTCCTATCTCTTTGTCATAGTTAATAGAATTATTTTGGGTAGTGTATGAGATACCCCAACATGGCTTTGGGTCTTTATTAATCAGGTATGACTGTACAGCCAATGCTGAAAGTACCCTAGTAAAGTTAGGTTTCATTACCTGAGTTTTAAGGAGAGGTTAATGAGTATTATTATTGGTCATTAAAATCATCATCGCTTTAAATCATGACTTGTCAGTCTTCTACTTGCTCAAGTGTTAAACAAACTCCCAACGGTTCCTTTTCAGTTGAGTTCAGGATTACTTAGCTAGACCCATTACTTATTATTGATGCTAGACCCAATTATTTTCAGTATTTAATTTATTCAGTAAATTGACGTGGTTGTTTGAATAACAACTGCCATGGCTGAGCTTTTGTGAATTTTCAACCGTCAAGTTTTTCTCCTTATCAATTGTCACTAAGACTAATCACTATACAGGCTGGGTGTACCTCATGAGGGCCTCCCGATCACAGAGTGATGAAACAGAAAAAATTATTACTTGCCACAGCCTAACTCGAACCCGGAGCACATTGACTTATGATGTGTTAGGAGAAGGATAAATGTCTAGTGCAATAGTTTTAAAATGAGGGTACTCACTAAATAGCCGGTCGGGATGAAACCTTCCTTGTTATCTAATGTTACATCATATAACCTCCCTTCTTATCTGGTATAAGCTGAGTTATTCCATTATTTATTTCTTGTTCTTCATTTGAGCTGTGAATTATTCCATCGTTTATTTTTGTTCCATTAGTGTGATATTATTACATTTTGGGAATTGCCGTCTTCAGATGAAGAGGCTATCAAATATTTTCAAGACGCTGGGATAATTGCAAAGGCGAAATATTGTGATGGTCATGAAATGAAGTTTGATGGGAAGATGAAATGGAGATGCTTTCGTACCACTTGTAACAAAAACGTTTCTACAAGGAAAGGAACGTGGTTAGAGGGGTCGAGGATTTATTTTTTAATGGTTTTATATTGTTTCTTTCAACATGTTTATATTGTTTGTTTTATATGTACATATGTTGTCTAAGAGGTTTTTTATTATTTCATTTATTTTTGTCCATTTCATATATCTGTTGTAAAATTAAAGTGTTTTGTTATTGTTGAGGGAATTATTACATTTCTTTTTGACTATTTAAATTTCAAATCAAACTGTTTTGTTATTATTGCATTTCTTTTCGTCTATTTAATATATATGTTGTAAAATAAAAGTATTTTTTTTGTTATTACATTTTTTTTGTCTTTTCAATTTTCAATAATATGAATATAATACAATAAATATGAATACGAAGATAGAAATTATCAGAATTATCAGTGTTAAGGTTATAAACATTGGCAGATAGCAGTCGGTCCCTATTTAAGGAGTGCCTCAAATGAGTTATCTAGTTAACTTTAATTAATAATAATTAAAAGAATATCATAAGCGATTTGTGTTACTTATTCTAAAAAATATGTTTTCTTTACAGTGTGTGGGAACTGATAGAAACATACCAGATTTAGTATTGGAAACTCGTGCAAACATTTTATATAAGTTGTTAAGGCTGTTCCATTACAGTATAGAAAATTTACAAGATTCATCGGTAGATGAAGATATTTCCGATAAATTGGCCGAACTACTCCAAGTCTACTTACCCATATTGCAATATGCCACTAACACATTCGGAAACATACCAGTATTAAAAATCCCTAAGGTATGAAATTTTTTAACTTATAATAGATACTATTTTCTTTATCTTAATGATGTAATTGTTTCATATATATATATATATATATATATATATATATATATATATACATTATATAAGATAATATATAATATATATATATATATATTATTATTATTTATTTTCAATTTATAGAGTACCAGTACCCTTTACTTGGAAGCAAGACAAACTTTACAAGGGTTTCAAGAGATTCATGGTGTTCTTGGCGGCGTGTTACTCTATCAGAATAAGTATGAATAACCATCACTATTATTATAATTATTATGTATAATAATATTGAAATACAATTCATGAATAAATGAAAGTAAGAGAAGGAGTTGGTCGGGAGGAGCGGTCAAATAAATACTAAATTTTTTAAAAATAGTATTTTTAGTTGTTAGGCCGACGTTTCGACCCACCTTGCAGGTCTTGATCAGGACTAAAAAAGATACAACATATAAAATACCTGGTGAAAATAAAATAAATGAATTATAAGTAGATATTTAATAATAATTAAATAATTTATTTATTTTATTTTCAGCATGTACCTTTTATATTTTGTATCTTTTGTAGCCCTGATGAAGAACTGCAAGGTGAGTCGATACATCTGCTTAACAATTAAAAATACTATTTTTTAAAAATTTAGTATTTATTTGAACGCAACTCCCGACCAACTCCTTCTGATATTATATCACGGTCAACCATCTCTACATCAAAATGAAAGTAAACTTTATTCTGTGAAGCCTGGTTAAATTAAATATTAAGAATTATATAAATGTAGAATTCAATAGACATTTGTCTAGTTACAGATAATAAATCATAAAATTAAGAAATTATTTAAATTTATATAATAAAAGACAAGCATGAGTAAACACATTAAAATACTGAAATATTATACACACACAAATATGTAAATATATTTACAGATCAATATATGTATGCTTACACATTTATACCAATAAAAAATGACAATGAAATATTTTTAATATGAATATATTGTTGGCACTAGGTTATAATAATGAATGTGAATTTGCCCAATGTAAACTTTCGATTATGATTATTCATTACTGCAACATTTACATATAAAATGAACCTATAAATTCATAAAAATGACATTACTAATTCCCGTCTTCCCAAGTTGGCTATTGAGTACTATGGTAAACAAATGAAATTAAAAATGTGATTTAAAAAAAAACAAAAATAATAATGATAAAAATATTCTTACTTATATATGGAAGATTGATAATTCAGGAGAGGGAGAAATAATCGATGTTTAAATGAAGTTTTATGAATATATGTGGGTAAGGAATTCCAAAGTAAGGTAGCATGTTTGATAAAGTAATTTCTGAACAAATCAAAAGAAGTCAATTCAGGAGAAATATACAAGTTTACGGATTGGTATCTTGTCTTAAAAGAATAGACAGAGGAGTATACGCTTACTCTGTAGGCCGAGGAGCATCGGTTGGAAGCCATTCCTAGCGTTAGCATTAACCGGCCTCCAACCTAGCTCTCCAGCCTCGGTAAGACCAAGGGATGCAGGCACACAACTGGTGCCCACGGAACAGATCCTACTATCAAGCTGCCGATCACTCGTCTGCACACTATACCAGATGACTAGCCTGAACAACGTCAAGACTAGCTGAACACTGGTGTTGTGCAGCGAGTAGTTGTAAATACTACGACCGCCACGGCCAAGCAGTGCAAGCACTCTATCCGTCCACCCAAAGCGCCGCCAGGGCTCCGGCGACGCCCCGTAGTACCAATTTGATCGGGAAGCACTTCTTCCCTGACCTCACAGCACGATTGGTCTCAGGCTCCGCAATCTTACGATCGCTACGGCTTTACATCAACTGCCGTTGTACAGGAGGATGCCTGCACCTCCGCAGTCGATGAGGGACGACTCGAACCGAAGGTTCGAGACGATGCCCGTCCCCATTAAAAGAATAGACAGAGAAATGTGGAGTGAATAGATTGAGGATGTAAGGAGTTTTTTTTTTTGGTTCTAGAGGATTAGGAAATATACACCTGTTATGTGCCGCTGGAGTTTGGCTGATGGACGGAATATCAAAGAAATGATTTGTTTCATATAAAAGGGTTCATTCAGTTTTTTCCTTTATTTAAAAAAAACCTCAACGGTTTCTATAGTAAAATAACTGTCTGATTATTCTAAATACAGTGGATAGTGAGAAATTTTGTTTGACTTGAATTAATATTATTTTTTTTTTTTCAGAGTCGTTGCAACTCAGTTAAATAAAACTTTTACGAAACAGCTCGTGGTGACCGACCCTTACAGAATTAAGGTATATAAATTTTCTTTTAGTATTTATGTCACTAAATCGTCAATAAAAACTATCTTTTTTTTTAGTACTTTTTGTTTATTTTAACTAATTAACATATCGATATTTATTTATTTGTTAAAGCTTCCGGCAGAGACGGTAGTAACATCTTTTCATCTTCCGTTCGGTGTGCAGCTTATTAAGGTTTACGTTCCAGCAAGTGAAATAAAGAGACTGCAGACAGAAAATGATGAATTACTGGATGCGTTAAAAGATGTGAGCAATTGGAGGAAAGAACTACAAAATTCTCAAAGTCAAAACACAAATAAGGTTAAAAAGATATTGATGTTTATTTAATAAAATAATATTTTCATTAATTGTAAAGATTTTTTATTGGATATTTGCATGAATTTACAATTTTTATTCATCAGAAAAGTGAGGGAATCATCCAGCATTTCATCCTCGTTGTAATGGGCTATTATTCAAAATCTTATCTTAATGCGAGACCATGTTAGAGAGGTGAAAAGGGAAAAAATAGTGTCGAAAACCAAATTAAAACAAGTTTTATTGAAGGTGTGGATTAAAATATCTCAGAAACTAAAAATTGGATCTGCATACTGTAATTGAGGAAATTGTTCAGCATTTCTGTAATTGGCTATTATTCAAAATTGTATCTTAAAGTGATGCCGTGTTAGAGAGTGGCGAAAAGGAAAAGATATTGTCGAAAATCAAACGTTTACGAGTTTTATGAAAGATATAGATTAAAATATTTCAGAAACTAAAAATCGGAACTGCATACTGTAAGTGAGAGAAATGTTCAGCATTTCATCCTCTTTATAATGAGCTATTATTTGTAATTTATTTTTCTTATTATTAATCCCTCCTTGTTGATGTTTTTTAAAGCTTTAGTTTTTTTTCCTGGAAGTACCCAATTCTTGATTTTTTTTTACATTAAAATCCTCCTACATCTTCAAATACTGCCCTTGCACAATATTTATTGATACCTTTGGAAAGGAGGAGATATAATGTTTTGTTATATTTTTTTTTATAGGCTAGTTCTGATCTTATAATTATTTTTTAAATTTTATATATTTCATTCTTTTTACAAAAGAAAACACAGTAATTTTTATTGTATAACAAATTTTTTATGTATTTACCTGTTTTATTCTCATTATAATAATAATGTTCTATTTTATTTTTTTGTTAGAATAGTTGTGTGAAGCCTCCTGAATCCTTTGTTTCCATGTGTGGTATGAAAAGAGATGTTTCTCGCATCTTCACGGTACTTGAGGAAGAAGGAAATGAAAACCTTGAAACGAGAGATCAGACAGACATTCCTGATGTTGTCCGCGATGCTGTTAAAGCACGACATCTCGCCAGAATTGAGGCTGTTGTTCCCAATAATTTTATTATACCTGAATCGACTGTGAAAGTTCGATCAGCTTTGACTCCAGATGACATATCTACCAAAAAAATTCCTATAAGGTAATTTATCATTTATTTTCAAATTTGATTCCTTGTCTGTAGTCAAATCTTTTTTTTTTTGTTCTTCCCTTCCTCACTTTTTAGGCTGGATTTCCTGGTACAGGAGTCAAGGGCGGGGATTAATGCCAGAGTTAAAAGCCTCCCTTGGCACCAGGACGCGAACTTGAAATATTTCAATTCATAACATAACTGCTGTGCACTCGTTGTTTACTTTACTATGCCAATCCCTTCCAAGACTATCAGGGATATTGTCATAATAATTCTGCTTTAAGAGCTGGTGAAAATTTATTGCTGTGGACTGTAAAATTAGAGGAGTTAATGGATTAAAGAAGTGAATATTTAAAATTGATTGCTATATTTTATTACATGTAATTTTATACGGAGGTTAAATATAGGTGGGTTGGGATACTTGCATTTTCTCTTTTCTTCTAGTTGCCAGTCTTCTTGTTCATCTTCTCTCTCTTCCTTTCTTGGCCCCTTGCCGGCCGCTGTAGTTTTTTACTCCATGTTTAGTAAACTCAGTGGAATTACAAATTTTTAAACTGGCCAGTCTAGTTAAATGTCTCACGCTACGTGAGCGTCTACGCTTCAGTAATGGCGGCGTCACAAACACAACTGAGGTATGTATATATGCAGTATGTTCGAGATAACAGCTGTGATGTGGTTTCTTGATTTAATTCAAATTAAATTTAAATATGAATTTTGATGTGTTCCCTAAACACCCATGTTAGCCCGCTAGGCCACCCCACCCCTATCTATAGTCAAATCCATGTGACGGACATATTGACTATTACCGTTAATCCAATTTTCATGAAATTCGTTAATGTATGTGTGGGTTGGTCCCACATAAATTTCATCAAATTCCATTCATTACTGCTTACAGATGAGTTTCCTATCAATTTTCTAACCTACAGACATCACATATAAATAATAATGTTATTGTATTAAAACTCTTTATGTTTTTTTCTTTTCTTACTATTTACAAAAGTGGAAGTTGTATAAATCATTTGATTCTTACAATTAATTTAACTACTATGTTAAAATAGCTGTATTTGTCATATACTCGTATTCTAATTAAGCTTATAATATTTGATTGTTGGTCTCCTATTCTTATTTTTTTTTTTTACCCGAACCGGCCAGCAATGACCACGCGAATATCATTTCTGTTTCCTCTTCACTCCCTCAGCCTTCCTCTTACTCCAATACTCCCTCATCCTCTTGGACTGTTCCTCCCGCTTTTCCTTAGTCCATTTTCTCCCTCTTCTCTCCCTCCCACCTACACCTATTCTTATTTTATTTATTCTATTTACTATCTTATATATTATTATCTCTCTGTATTCATAATTCTAATCATGTCTAAATCTAATAATAATGTTCTTAGAATATTTACTCTATTATTTATATATATTCTTATCTGATAGTATCCTTAATACCGAATATTTGAGATTTTTTTTTTATTTTATTTTTTTAAACAAACAAAAAATGGTAACTTTGTAAATATAATCATTAATTTTAATAATTAATAAGTTTTAAGTTAAAACTTAACTTAATAAATGGCACTGACTGATAGATGTTGCCATCTGGTCAGACTAGACTGTTATTATTGGTTAAATAAAACTCTAAACTCTCTCATAGTAGAAATGATAAAAGATAATGCTTCTGAACTAATTTTTTTGTTTTTTTTTGTCTTCTTTTAATTCATATAACTCTTTTTTTTTTCAAGTTATAAATGATTAATTCTATAATGCTACCGTAGAAAATCATCACTTGACATACATTGAAGATGTGAAACAATACAAATATAGGCTATTCCAAAATATGGCAAGCTCCTGAAGGTGTCATAAGAACTCTAGTGCCTAATGAAGAGATAATAACGATACAATAATTAATAAGGCTTTATTTATAGTAAAACTACATTTCTCATTTGTCTTTGTTTAAGGTATTACAGTATCGGGCTTCCGCAGGTGAATCCTGATTGGTGCGATTCTCCTCCTAAGGCTAGAAATCCAAGGCCTTATTATAACACCATCTGTGATCCAAAATATCCATTATTTAAATATGACGGACTTCCAGCCTCAGTTTCCCTTTCGGAATCTCGAATCATGAAACAGTTTGAAGTGTTGAAAGATGAAAAACAGCCTGTCAAAAGCTTAAATTGTAAGTGTGAATGTTGTGATACAATAATTACTTGTTTTATTTTAGAACTTAGTAATAGCTCTATTTTAAATATTATAATAGTAATTTATATATTAGTAATGGCTCTGTTCAGTTTTCCGACAGCAATACTTCCTTGGTGTGCTCTTGATTTGATCACTCCTCGTTCCTCTGTCCATTCTCTAATCACGGGATCTCATTCCACAAACCTGTATATTCCTTTTCATAGGACTGCTTCCTTTAAAAAATTCCTTATAATGAGTGATACCTTGTTTTGGAATTTCTTACCCACCTCCAGACACAAAACCTCTTCTTCTAAGCATTAGTTATATTCATTCATCTCCTCAGCAATCGAATATATGTAAGAATTAAATGTTCCTATTCAAGTGTTGTCAGCCTCATTTTACTATTATTTCGCAGTTATCTATCTATTATGTAGATTGCTTATCAGTACAATTATGGAAACATTTTAATATTTATTTATCTATAATTTTATTAGTTTCCTTATGCTTATCCTCTATCAATTCTAAGATTACATAACTCTATAAGTTAATTATTTCTTGTCATTCGCCCAGACAAATGACATATTGTTCATTATTATTATTCTTAAGGGACTAAATGTCCCAAAATAAAATTGACTTTTCTTCTTCCTCTATTTACTTTACATCTGCTATTAATTAAATAGTTTAACATGTTTGATTATTATTTTATCTGGATTATTATTTATTTATTTTTTAAAGTTGGAAAACCTCAAAATGGGAATGTCATAATGGAAGCTGCTGATAAACTGCCCGAAGTAAAGCCGCAGCAAAAAATTAAATCTTCGTTTACATTACCTCTCAAGTCAACTTCAGGTAATTATAACGTTTTTGTGCTATATTTATATTGGAATTTTTTATTGTGTATTATTACTACTGTAACATGGTTAATATATTAAGTACGTGCATTTAAATTATTTCGCTTTATAGGCTTTTACATTACCTGTTCAATATGGTTGAAATAAGAATCACTTATGGTTGAATAGAATATTATTATAAAACAAAATAAAAAAACTAAAATGAAATGACGAGATTTTCATTACCTGCCATAGATAGGTCAAAAGGTGCCACACTAATTCCAAGTGGATAATGTTGAGATATCACAAAGAAAAAATTCATCAAATTATTCACCAGTTTAATTTTCTAAAAGGTTACTTGATGACTTTTCGGAATAAACGGCCAATAGATATCTAATTATTTAAATATAATATTAGATCTAGAGTTATTAAACTACAGTAAATGAATGTAATTAAATAATATATGTAAATGTATTTAATGGTATAAACATTTTCATGAAATATTTTTATATTTCACTTATTTTATTCACACAAGTACAATGAAATAGTATTTTAAACAATGCATTGCCTTGATTCAGTGAATTTTAAATACTTTTTTCAAATTTAAAAAAAAAATAAAGTTTACATATAGTAATAAAATTTCATTTAATTTCCTTAGAAACATGTGATTTACGTTAAATAATGTTAGTTTTCAGAAATTATTTTTATTTTTTTTGTCACTCACCATTACCTTCTACAACTTATTATTTATTTGATATTATTTTTTCTAAAATTTTCCACTTTCCAACGATATATTATACATATACCTTCTGTCTATTATTTATGGAGATTCATTTTCAACCTGGATAAGCATTTTTATTTTTTTCTCCAGTTTCTAATTATCATATTCTTCCAAACTTCATGTTTAGCCATTTTTTATAGTTACTGTCAATATAAGAGAACTCATTTCTTCAAATAAACCATATTAAAGGTGATTTAGAGGAAGACGCATATGAACATTAGGCATTTAAGCCCTGTAAGGTGACATCAATGGGGATAAGACCTAAATGATATTAAGGATCACTTAATTATTCAATGATACACCGAGTTTAATCAAAATGGTTTGAGTCATTTTTGAGAAAACTGTAAAAATGTGTTTCACCGTTGATATAAAGTGGCACTTCCAGTTAGTCATTTTTAAGTAAAAAGTTGCTGTAATATCTAAGTCATATACCTATCTTAAATATGTAATATCAGTTTTGTATGACTTTTTGTTTTTGAGCTAGACATACACAGACATACAGACCATTTTGCGGGACTTAGTTACTTGAATTTAGAAGATCTCAAAACGTGCATTTCAGTTGAAAACTCAAATTCGAACATTTTCACGATCGCAATATTTTCCCTTACTATATATTACATATATAGGTAAATGAAAGTAAAAAATTGTTAACAAAGAAAAAATGTATTTAAAAAAATAATCACATTTACTTGAGTGCATAATACTTTTTATATTCTCTACTCACCACTTACGCTTTTTCATTTAACGGGTCATTTAAAAATGCCCATGATCTTCAGTTCTGGAAAAACTACATGTGCATCATGGAAAGCCATGAGATAGTTTGAAAGTAGAATTGATCACTGAGCACTACTGATCAGATCTATAATCATTAAACTACAGTCCATTCACCTATCCAATACATTTATTTTACATCCGGAATCCCATCCTGCCCACACCGTAACAGTAGAAGAACTCCTTACATCACCAATCCCACTTTCCTTGCCCCCAAAAGCTATTCATCCTTCCGAAGTAAAATTTCAATTAAAAAAACTAATCCCCGTAAAGCTCCTGGACATGATCTCCTTACACCTCAAATCCTTCGACAACTTCCATCCAAAGCAGTCATATTCCTTACATATATCTACAATTGTATCCTACGCACCACCCACTTCCCTCTGTTATGGAAACACTCCACTATTATCCTTTTCCCAAAACCAGGAAAACCTCTCAATAGCTCAACATCCTATAGACCAATCAGCCTACTCCCAATCCTTTCAAAATTTTGAAAAGATCTTTTGAAACGAATCCTACCCATTATAGAATCCCAAAATATCCCTTCCCATCAGTTTGGTTTTCGCTCTCAACATTCTACTGTTCAACAAGGACTCCGAGTTGTTGATCATATTTCCTCAGCCCTAGAAAACAAGGAATACTGTTCGGGTGCCTTTCTGGACATTGCACAGGCATTTGACCGGGTATGGCACTCCGGACTGCTCTCCAAGCTTAAAATCCATTTACCTCAGTACTTGTACCTAGTCCTCCGATCCTACCTCTCTGACCGCTCCTTTCGAGTTCGCTGTGGAACAGAATTTTCCAATATCTACTCCGTTAAAGCCGGTGTTCCCCAAGGCAGCGTCTTGGGTCCCGTGCTTTACATCCTCTTTACTGCTGACATCCCTGTTCATCCCGATACTTTTCTTGCAACATTCGCTGACGACACCGCAATCTTATCATCCAACTCTGATCCCGAAATAGCATCCTTAAATCTCCAAAGCCACCTCACCTTGATTGAGCACTGGTGTAATAACTGGCGCATTAAAGTTAATGAATCTAAATGCCAACATATTACCTTTACACTCCGACGCAATTCCTGTCCACCAGTACTCTTTAATTCCATCCAGCTTCCTTACTCAGACACAGTCCGGTATCTTGGCTTTCATTTAGACCGAAGACTAACTTGGAACCCGCATACTAGACTCAAAAGACAAGAACTCAACCGACGATACGGCCAACTATACCGACTACTAAGCAGAAAATCTAAACTTTCCATTGAAAACAAGCTACTGATCTACAAGACAATACTGAAACCTATTTGGACTTACGGACTAGAACTGTGGGGATCAGCAAAATTTTCTAACATCAAGCGCATCCAATCCTTCCAGTCTAAAGTCCTTCGAACAATAGTCGATGCTCCTTTCTATGTATCCAACAAAACCCTACATCATGACCTTAACATCCCATTTGTCCTAGACCTTATCCCAGAAAAATTCTCCGAATTTCACCAGAACCTTACTTACCACCCAAATCCTCTTGCACAATCCCTATCAAGCATCTCCCATCCCGATAATCCTCCAAGAAGGTTGAAACGGCAGTGGCCTCGCGACCTTTTGTAGATTGTATAAATTGGAGTTCTGGCAATGGCCAGATTCTTCACTCAAGACATGTGTGTATGTGGCTAAAGTGCTCTCGACCAATCTCCGCTGGCTTTAGTACCAGTGACGCGGTTGGGAGAGTAGCGCAGGGTTCTCCTGGAGTTCCCTCGCCTGATTGTATATAGGTATGCATGTGTTTTTTTTTTTTTTTTTTCTTCTTAGTTTTAATTTTCTTATTTTTTAGGTTATTTTATTTTATTGTCTATTGTATATACTTTTGATTATTATTTTGTTCTATTTATTTTATTTTTTTTGTACGTATGGTGTGAATGTCATCCTACCTCACTATAACCAATGTCCAACAGACAGATTGTTATAATACTCAATAAAGAAATTAAAAAAAAAATTACAGTAAATGTATTTAAGGTTATGAACATATGCTTTATACATCTTCAAATTAAGTTCCTTTTCAACTCGTGAAAAGTAATCTAACCCTCATTCAAGATTTTTGTTATTGCTGTAAAATAACTTATTGCTCTTGAATAGTGATCAAATTTGGTCTTTTTTCTTCTATCACATATTTTGCTACCCAGCGAATATCATATTCCCTGAAAAATGAGAACTGACTTGAATCTATACCTTATTATTCATAATTTTTATTGTTTACCCAGGTTCGAAAGGGCCTCATGGAATCCCTCTTACACCACTGCTGGCAAGGCTGTCCCTTTTAGCAGAAGAAGGAAGCACGATAGAAACTCCCTTAAAGACACCATTAGCTTTTGGAAACAAAATTAAAGAAATAAAAACTCAAACAGGAGATATGAATGATGCAAAGCCGAAAAAAGAAAAATTTAATATTCCAGTCAACAGCGATAAAGATGAAGACGATCTTACCACCTCAGTACTTTATGTGTTTGGTATCGGCAACACTTCTGTGCTACTTTTAGTTGAACCTGAGGTGGCGATTCAACCAGAAGTGATACACACATTGGTAAGTAAAACATTTATTTTATATGTTAGTTAAAATTTTTCAATAAACTATATATGAATCAAAACAATATAATGTATTCTTAGTACAGTACAATGTGAATAATCTAAAACTTATTGCAAGGGAGTAATTAGAAAACAACATATAAATAAAATAATAGATCTCGATTAGATAAAGTTTTTTCAGTCCTGATGATGTCAAAATTTGCTAAAAGTTAGTTATTTGTGAGACAAGATTTTTCATTGAGTCTTTCATATATATATATAAATGACTTTTTTTTTTTTGTCCTCCCCTTCCTTGCCTTTAAGAATATACGGGATTTTCCAGGGCCAGAGAGTGAGGGCGGGGATTTAAAAGACTCCCCCAGAACCGGGACGCTAACTCGTGACTATTTTTGTCTAGTTATCTCATGTATCTGGTTGCCGGGAAACAGCGGTGCAGTGCACAAACATTATTCCATTCAGCCATCTCGCCCCCTTATGTAAATGACTTTATTTACAACACTTTAAGGTCATATGTCGTAATCTAGCCCCTGTCGCCATTTCTTTATATCATAACAGTCTTCCTCGCGGAATCCCCTTGGTGCTATAGCTTCATGTAAACATTCCAACCATCTCTTTTGCGGGCGACCTCTCTTCCTCCTTTCCAACGGCACATGCTGATATATTCTTTTAGGCCATCAGTCATCCATCATTCTCATTACATGCACAAAACAACTCAGCTTTTTTTCTCTCAATGGAGTACAGGATGTTGAGGGATTCGTTCACTTTATCCCTAATGGCATTATTTGGAATATGTTGTAACCTCGATATTCTACAGCTACGTCTGCAAAAATCCGTCTTCATTAATAACAATTTTCTTGCTTAGTCGATTTAAATCGTCCAGGTTTATGAGGCATATAATACAGTATTTACAACAAAGGAATGGTATCGTCTGTTTTTAGTCTTGAGCATTGATGTCTTTATTCCATAAAACAGAATTTAAAGTCCTTATGACTTTTCTACCTATGATGACTTTTTCATCAATCGATTCTTTCAATTATATTCAAAAGTATTTTTAATAATTTTCTGATGGTTTTACTACTATATCGTGGTATAATTTTATTTTCAGTGGGAAAGGAGCATGACTTCCTTGAAACATATGGATGTCCGTTTGAGCACCTGCTTAAACGCTAACGAGTCCAGCGGCAGTACCGATTACAGCTATTCGCTGGTAGATTCCAATTGGGGACCGATAGAAAGAGGCGGAGCGTATCATCCTCACCAGCTGGAACTCCTCACCGTTTTACACCACACTCTTTCCAAGCGCCCGTTTATCACTGATATCCTTGTCAGGTAAAGTCCTTCACTATTTGATGATTTTTTTTTTTTATCTTATCAATCAAAGTAGCAAATCCGAAAACTAACCAATTTTTTTATTTTATTCAACACTCCAGCATTCAAGTGTCATCTGGAAGATGATAAAGATAGAGAAGAAAGAGTTATGAGTTTGAATAGTGCTTGTTCAACCTGCCTCCCCCTCCCTTCCATTCTTACTATAAATAAGTTCCAAAACTCAGTGCTGAGCTCATCAATGACGTCTCATTCATGTCTATCTGGGCGATAACCATACCTTTGATAAGCTCAGCACTGAGTTTTGGAACTTATCACAGCCTCATAGTCTAGTGATAGCCAACTTCCCAGTGGAGTGTTCTCAATTATATATTTTTTTTTTTATTTCTATGACATTTACAACTGTATTAAATAAATACATCTAGTAAATTTGGACATAATAGATATAATGACGTGAATACACTTGCTGAGTAACTATCCAATGGTAGCACTCTAATGATATGACTACATTAGGAGATCGCGGGGCCATCTTCTTTTTAGACGCCTCGGAGGGTTATCAGGAATTGAAGAGGAAGCAAGGTTAGAAACGAGAGGGTTGGGATGATTCTGAAGTTTATTATGGAAGGATAGGTATCTGGATTGGGCCAGTTCTGAAACAAAAGAAACATTAAGGTCATTATGGATGATTTTATTAGTGACAAAGTAAGGAGCATTTAAGGAATCCGATGGTTTAGTGGAGTCCCATAGCTCAACTCCGTAAGTCCAAATAGGCCTTATTATTGCCGTGTATATGATTCTTTTGTAATTAATTGGAAGTTTTGAGCATTTGTCTAGTAAGTGCTGAAGTAATCGGAAACGTCGAGCGGTTTCTTGTCGTTTCAGTCTGGTATGAGGATTCCAAGTTAGTCGTTTGTCCAGGTGGAGTCCTAGGTATCGGATTTGCTCAACAGGGATAAGTGGAGTATTGTTAAAGGAAACTGTAGGACAGACAGTCGTTGGTTTATGAGGAAGCTCAATTATATTACAAATTAATTATGATAAACAACCTTTCTTTAGGTTATTCTTATTTTTTTTTTTTTTTATATTTTTTAAATAATTTTATATTTAATCTATATATGATTATTTTTTTATATAAACCATTTTTAACCTCAGTCCTTTTTTACAATATTTAAAATTTATTTTTTAACGTTACAACTCCAAGAACCATTGTCAAAATACTTTCTTTTTTTTTAAATCATAGATATAGAGTAAATATAATAATTAAAGATTAAGATATATCATATCATTTGTACATTGATAATAGGAGTATTCATGCTACCAGTGCTAAGTATATTAAATCTCTTAATTGCGTTTAAATTGAGGAACTTATTTAAGATCAGTGTGTTAAATATGGCCGCTAGCGTAATCAATTTTAACACAGTCTTGGGTCTATTAAAGCTGGTGTAAATTTGGTAAATGTGTGGGGAAGGTTATTAAAAGTTTTCATCTTTTATTTACTTTACTCCTCGGCGCTATAGTCCGCATGGGACCTTGGCCTTCTTAACAATACGTCGCCACTCGTCTTCGCCCAATGTGACAGTCCTCCAGCCAATGGAGTGGTGGCCTTCCTTTCCTTCTTGCTCCTCCAGGTCGCCCATATAATATTTTCCTCGGCACTCGGTCCGTTGCCATCCTTTCCATATGACCCAACCATCTTAAGCGTCCTGCCGTAATGACACTGACGAGATCTGTGCCCCTGTAGAGTTGTCGCAACTCCTTGTTATATTTTGTCCTCCTAACACCTTCACATACAGGCCCATAAATTTTTTATTTAATACTTTCTTTTTTAGTGGAATGAAATATAAGAAAAGATACTAAAGGAATCCGGAAAACCACAGAAAACAGGGATCTGTTCACATAGTTACGGATGAAATTGAAGTGAATAATTTTTGTGTCTACAAATTTCTTTATAAATTTATCGTTGTCACACTTATAAAGTCCTTAACAATTAAACAAGTGAAGCCCAAGTTATTATAAGTAGAGTTTTGGTTTCAACTTATTACAGCTAGTAACACTTTAGCAGGAGTGGTTCATTCAATTTTCATGCAAATTATTTAGCACTATAACTCATTTAGCATTTATCACAAGTTACAGGAATATCTCTTAAATATGGTTGATGATTTGAAATAAAGATGTCTATTACTGGAAAAAATAACTTAACCATAATGTTTTTTTCTTTTTTTTTGTTCAGATCGGAAGATACAATAACTTATGGATATCAGTGTGCAGATACGCAAGTGTTTTATCAAGAAAACAATTGTTCAAATAATATCGGTCTTCCAACTCCTTCCGATCTCATGGGTGTGATACCACTCAAAGCCAGGCGTATATTAGAACGTGATCATGGCATCATACTTCTTTAGAATAGTCGCATGGTTCATCGGATGTGCCATCGTAAATCTTCAATCTAGTCATATTGTCATCGGAGATGTGATAGTAGTTATTATATGCGATATTTATTTATATTTAATTTAGTCTTCCTAACTTCGCATTAAGCTAGGTTTCCACATGACAAATTTATTATTATTATTATTATTATCAGGAACATTACAATCTTCATTGGGTTGCAAATATTTTTTTCAGAGAATATCCTTGATTTATGTACTAGATACTATCGTTCTGTTACTGCTACCCTACTAAATTTCACCTACGCCCTTCATGAAGTATTATTGAAATGCTACGCATATAATAATTAATTTCATTTAGTACTTCATTCATTGGAATCATTTTTAGTATAACAAGAATCTTTCTGTATATTAAATTGCTTCCAAGAAAACTTCATTTTTATGTATAGAGATAAAGATGTAGATACTGAGCTAATCGATTGTATTGGATCCGTCTTTAAATTGGGTGGAACAATGACATCGATAAACTCAACGCTTAGTTTAGGAACTTACCTATACATTGAGTTTTATTTCTGTATATAAGAAATGAAGTTTCCTTGAAAAACGATTCAATATATAGAAAGATTTTTGTTATACTAAAAACACTTCCAATTTATGAAATATCAAAGGAAATTATTTATAATATTATATGCAGTGCATTTCAATACTGTTTCATTAATTTTATCAAATTTTCAAGGATTAAATAAATTATAATTTCCTCTAAAACTGCATAATTTTGTTTGTCATATTTTTTTTAAATTATTATTAAGTTGAATTATTATTTCAAACTTAATAAGTTTTATTTAGGAGCTATGTTCATAAAATAAATTTAAAAATGAAAATTTTATTCTATACTTCTTCATTCTTTTTCAAAAGCAACTAATGTCTCTGGCAAAATGCATGTGGAAACCTTTCTTAAAATTATCTTTTTCTTTAAAAAAAAGAGTTGTTTTTAAGAGAAAAAAAAAGTATCGTCGGTGCTCTGACATATCCTTTTGGAAATTTATATATTAAAAAGTATTAGCATAAAAAAAAAAGAAATAAATTCTTCATGAGAGTTAATATTCCTACAGTAGAACAACAAAATATTTAAATCCAAAAAGTCATAAGTCTTTTAATAGCAGATTCCTGTGGATCTTTTGTTTCCTCTCTATTGCTTGTGGAAATAACTTAATTGTTAACCTTCTCTATAAGTTGCTTAGGTTTTTGTGGCTTTCAAACAATATGGTAAAATGGATATACAAGTTTTCTCCCATCAATGTTGATTTTCTGTTCTATTAAAAAATGAATTATGAATTGTTTGTTTAACCTTTGTTCATGTTATTATTAAATTTAAATGTTGATCTTTAATTATCTTATTGCATTGAATATAAGAAACACAAATTTAAGGTGAATCTGGTTATTGGTCCCCAACCCATTTTCTTTTGCTGATTTTTTTATTTTACCAGAATATAATTAATAAATCATATATTGTCATCTTATCATATACAAAAATGAATTCCCCCTTGCAATACGGAGGTATGGTTTATTCATACCAAAATACTGAGACAGTCGACTGTCATTTCTCATTGTATAAACACATCTTACCATGTTAAGAATTTTTTCCACATTAATACAAGCTTGAGGTTGTGGAACTTCCCCCTCCCAAACTGATATAATTCAGAAACTTTAAATTATTGAGTAATAAGTTATAGAAGGTAGCGCATGTATAAATTCTGTTTTTAAAAATGTATTTTATAAATATTTTAATTTTGTTTGAGGAAATTGATCTATTGTTATATTATTGATATTGATATACTTATATATCTATCCAAGAACTTTCTTATTAGGTATCTGTCTTTCTTTCTAATATATTTGAATTATTAACGGTATTAGGAAAACATTTTTATTTGTATGAAGAATATATTGTCGGTTTGTTGCAAAAAGGGATTGACATTTCATAACTTTAAATAATTAAGAGCTTTAATGAATTTTCTCTTTATGAAAACATAAAATTATGTACCCAGTGAAACAATATATGATAAAAAAGAGTGTGTGCTATTTTTATGCACTTATGGTGTTTTTGCATATAAAAACTTGGATTTTCTATTGTTCTGCTGAAAATTGGTCCAGTGTTTATACGAAGTTGTTTGTAGCTCATGATGTCTGCTATCATTCCTATAAAAATTTCTCTCTACTTACAGAATACCCTGTATAATGAGCATGAAACAAAATTTCAGTAATTTTGTCTGAAATGCCTTACAATTTCGTTTGATTCTTATTCATCAGTAGACTATCTTCAAAGTCTTATATAAAAGATGAATTTGAAATTTTGAAGCCTCCAAATTAATGGTTATTGTCAGAGTATATTTATGATTTTAATAAAATTAGACTATAATAAATTCAAATTTGTGTAGTTGCAAGTGCTTTCAAAACAAAGGTTGTAACTAATTATTATTTAATGAATTTTAAGTGATAAAGAAAGGTTTTGTTACAATAATTAATTAATACAAACTCTATAGACTTAATTGACAGTTAGGAACAACTTTTTTTAACTTGTTTTGTCAAAGAACTTGGAATTTTTAATTACATTCCTGTTTAATTTTATTGGTACTTAAAAAGATTAGTAACTGTTAGTTACTTTTATATTTTGAATTTATTTAAAAGATATTGTCAATGTTTGTATGAAATAAAAGATTTATTATTTATTTCCATGTTAGCGAACAAAATTATTTAATTATGTATTCGATGGGCATTGCTTGTTGTTGATGTTTTTATACCTGTGGTGGATAATATGTATGGTACTTAATATATAACTTGATAAATGAGTTTGTTTTAATTTTTACCTGCTCATTTGTAATATAAATCATTTCTCACCTCTATTTCCCAGTTGTTATTTATTTATAAGTTATTATCAATTATAGGAATATAAAGTCTTGTTCCATCCTGTAAACTATGAAAAGACATAACATTCGTCACCTTGGAAATACTGTCTCACTATCAAGTTGCTCACAATCGACAGTAACTGTTGCACATTATATAAACTAATGAAATAATGATGACATCAGCTGTTCATTATTCTATTTCCTCTGCCACTGCCTTGACAATACTACCATGACATAAATTAACATAATTTAAACAAAGCTTAAATTACATTGAATATATTTATTCTATATTTGAATGTAATATTTATTTTAATGCAAAACTATTGTATATAAGACTTCTATATTTCAATTAAGATAGTTATATAGTTAAAAAAAAAAAATCATGAAAAGAAGAAATGGTTATCAAGATTCACTAATTTGAAGGCCTTGCTAACCCAGCCAAAAATATTAAAAATCATACAGAAAAAAAATCCATATTTTCTTATTTGTTTTAATTAATTAAATTTTTTATCTATTTATTTATTTTAAAAGATATTTATTTAGTCCTTTTTATTTCCTTCATTTTTTTTTTTTTTTATGGTTAACATTTCAGAGAAACAATGGGGAAAGTATTTCCCAAATTTTATCCACAAACTAATTAAGTTAAATAATTAAAAGTAAAAAAAATCCAAATAGCTTATTAAAAATTAATAATAAGAATAAAGTTGTGATTTGTTAGTTATAATATTATATATGAAAAATTATCTTTTCTTTAAAATTTTGGATATTCTAAAAGAAAAATATATTAATATACTAAATCAAAGTAAATTTAAATATGATAAAAAAATTAGATCAAAATAAAAGAATGTAGTTATATATAACAATTCAGATACAAACAAAGTTCATTAAAATTCACTTAATTCACAATATAATATTTGAAATGATGGTAATTTATATTCACTAATTTGAAGGCCTTGTTAACCCAGCTAATAATATTAATAAATCATACAGAAAAAGATCCATAATTTCTTATTTCTTTAATTAATTTTAAAATGTTTGATTAATTTATTTTAAAAGCTATTAAGTAATTTTTAATTCCTTCAATTTTTTTTTTTTATGGTTAACATTTCAGAGAAACAATGGGGAAAGTATTTCTCTGAAATTTTAAACACAAATAATTTATAAAATGAACCAGTTAAATAATTATAAATAAAAAAATTCCAAATAGCTTATTAAAAATTACAATTTGATTATTACAACTGTAAATAAAGCACCGTGAGAATAATGTTGTGATTTCTCAGTTATAATAATATATGAAATATTATCTTTTCTTTAAAATTTTGGATATTCTGAAAGAAAAATATATTAATATACTAAATCAAAGTAAATTTAAATACGATAAAAAAAATAAAAGAATGTAGTTATATATAACAATTAAAATAAAACAAAATTCATTCACTTAATTCCCAGTATAATTTTTGAAATGATTAGCAATAATTTACATTTTTAGATTTAATAATGTCATTATTATTTATTTATACAGTTTTATTATAATATCAAAACAGTAAATACTTCTGTAATTTATAAGAAAAAAAAATATATTTATTCATTTATAGGACTTAATTTCGCCTAAATAATTTTCATAAAAAAAAAAAGTATGGAATTTAATTCAAATCTTCTATTAATTAATTGAAGTCCTCTACTTACAATAATTACAAGCACTAGCGGATCCAGGATTTAATTTTGGGGGGCTTCACCCCGAAAGATTTTTTTTTCATATACATATAACGATAATTAATTAGAAAAAAAAAGAAAGAAATTAACTACCTATATGAAATGGTGTTTAAGTGGTTTCCTGAAGTCCTATTAAATGTAATTTCATGAACAAGACTACTTTAAGAGATAATTTTTAATCTTTTTTTGCTGTAAAACATGGTTATATTTTACCATTTTGGGGAGGGGCTTCAGTCCCAAAGTCATTGATTCATTGATTGAGTCATTCATTTCTTAAGTGAATCCTAATCATTAATAATAATTTTTCTATTAAAATTTAAAATTATTCACTTGGAAATAAATAAACTTCAATGCCCAAGTGAGCCACATTTTACAGGCGAGTCCTTTTTACGTGTCGTGTGCAAATAGTTCAGGACTGACACCTCCAATAGCAAATATTTTGAAGGATGACGAAGACACAATTAAGTTAGTGTTAAGTTTCTTGAAATCAAATGATTTGTTTAAAAAAATTTTAAATCTTAAAAATTTAATACAGATTTAACAAAATTAATTTGCAGGCGTTGATGACCTGGATGTTTTACGCCTTAAAACCCCAACAAACAAACTTCAATGCCCATTTTTGAATAAAAAAGGTTAATGGGGGTTTGTTTAGGAGATAAAAAATGGTGTGCGATTCGAGAGAAAAAAAAATTATAAAAATTGTACTATAAAAAATTAACTTTTGTTTACAATAAGATAAAGTTATTTTATTATGAGTACTCAATGGTTGACTGTAGTATAATTTTGGGAAAAGAGATAGTCCGGGGTGGCAGTCAAAAAAATAAATTAAATAGTTTTTCACTATTTTAATTTTTTTTATGACCGCAATCCTCGAACATATCTTTCCTCAAATTTATTCAAGTTTCATTACATTCCTTGAAAAAAAAACAAGACGGTTTCAGAAATAAAATTATTAATGCGCAAGACAAGCAAAATATTCCAGTCAGATGCAGTTTCGATTATTCATAAAGCGCCTTTAGATAGAATACTCAAATAAAAAACATGTAAATTTTAAATCATCAATAAGTATTTGGCCATTAACAGCTTTTATTCATTAGTACATTTAATCTATGTGAAAAAGTATTAAGAATAAACATCAACAAAATATCTGAAATCTCTTTATCAATTGTCTATAACTACAAAGCATGACATCATATTTCGAGACCAAAAAAGTATTTTTTACCTTGATACTGGGACATTTTTCAATAAATTGTTAACTATTCCATAAAAATATTTATTAGATTTATTTACAATATTAATTTAATCCTAGCTCATATAAAAAATTAATAAATAATAAACCCTTTTAAATTTAATAAGTTTTACTAAAAAAAAGAAAAACTATTCCTTTTGCTGTATATAAGTGATATGTATTTATCGAAGCGATACCACTTTCGATAACAGCTTAAAAGAAAACGTTTTTCTGAATTAGGATATAGTCATGGAAAATTTATAGAATTAAATTATATATAACAACTTTAAATTGGCGGTACTTAAAATCTAAATCGAACTTAATTTACCTGGTTGTATCACATGAAATTAGATTTTGAATCAAAATTAACTTGGCAAAAACTAATATAATAAAAATTATAACAAATCGCAGGTTGCTATACAACACTATCGGCATATAACAAACCTAAATATTTCCTCACTCAAGTTATGATTCGAAGTTGTAGTAACTAGTGTTGGTGAAAAAAATCTAAAATTTTTTCCTTCCGATTTTATATAAATATTAATGTGAGAGGGAGAGAAAGGAAAGAATGGATAGGTTTTTAATTTTGATAGAGTGGAAAAATGTTATATTTTCCTGTAAGTGGTAATGAAACAAGTAAAATTTATTATTATTTAAATCGTAGGCTCAATACCTACCAAGATAAAATATTATCCATTAATATCCCAAGACATAAATCCAGTACCGTAATATTTTGTTAAATCAGAATTAGTGAAGTATGATTGTTTGCAAGTGTGTTTTAATCAGGAAAAAAATCTACATGTCATTTTTAAAATAGAAAAAATTCCATTTTACTAATTGTTTTCTGTTATTTTGGCATATTTCAGAAAATAAATGACAATGATATAAATTTAGAATATCTTTTTAAGTCTTTCTTCTACCAGAAAAAAAAAAATACTACGAATTTATACTGCCCCGCAAAAGCTTCTTTCATTACATGGTAAAATTTTAATACTATTTAAAAAAATCTTTCCTACCTTCGGTAGTGAGGAAGCAAAATACAAAATTTAGTAAATCGCTCAAACATGAGGTTTCGACAACATTTGTCGCACGAGTTAGAAAGCTCATTTCACAAGTGGAATGTCGTTTGTTCATGAAGTCATGACCTGCGGGCGTTTGGGGACCTCTGGGTTAGATCCCTGTTTAGGTCCGTAAATATTTATTTTGTGGCAGTTTTCAGAAATTAATCTTGATACTCCCACTAGTGAGAGGCATGTTATGAAGGAGATCTTTTTTCTTTAACTAAATGTTTCAAAAATATTAGCTAAAGCATCAAAGCAACAACTTAATAAACCCTTAACGGACTAAAACTTATATAAGCAAAGCCAACGTACCCAAAGTTCTTCTAGTATACGAAAGGATGAGAATTACATAAATCTAAATAAGGGAGAGATAACTATATACAGAGAACCAAATTACTACAGTTTGTGTTATCTGGTTGTATCACATGAAATCCTCTTTTATAAAATATGAATTAATATAAGAACAACTTATTAATTTGTATTTAATTAATAAAGAAATTCATTGTTGAACATGAGGCGATTCTCCATGTTTAACGACTTTACTTATAGAGATGAAGAATTTAAAATTTAAGTCAGTTTGTAACTCTCACACCAATCACTGCGGATCAGCTCTTTCAAAAGTACTAATTTTTTTTTTTTTATAAAATAGCTGTTTAAAACCGGCAAGTGATACCAATCCCTACTAGAAATATTATTCAGATTACGAGTTTTTATGAATAGGAAACAGAAAAACCTATTTATTGGAGGAACATTATAGAAATAAGGGAGTATATTACAATTAATGATATTAAATTAATAGAAACCCAAAAATTAACTATTGATATTTCATGCGATACAACTGGATAGTATTTAATATCTTCTTTAAAGATGAAAATCCTGACATATTATTTTCCAATAGAGATATAAAACACTGAAGGTATTCTAGAACCTTTTGACTGAGTCACTCTTTTACTGTGAAGATTAACATAGCTAAATACAACTGAATTATTTGTATTATCTCCGAAACTATAAACTTTATAAAAGATGGATAAAATAGAAAAATAATAACAGAAATTACAAATCTCGAGATAGTGAAGGTACTTCAATATTAAGTTTCACTTTTTTCTTCTCTTAAAACCATCAAAAGCCGTTCAGTGCAAAACTTCCACAAAGCTATTACTATCAGTGATTACAATGTTAATTAACACATACGTAACCGATAAAACACTCAATTAATCT